GTAATAGGACGCCCGCATATTTAAGGTGTCTTTTTGAAAATTCGGGACAAATTGAGGTATTACTTTATGTATTTTCCCTCCCTCTCTCTCTCTCTCTCTCTCTCTCTCTCTCTCTATATATATATATATATATATATATATATATATATATAACTTACAGTAGGTGAGTCTGCACAGAGTATAAGTTGGCAAGTACAACAACATTTTCTTTAGGAAAAATGATAAATATACCCCTGAATTATCGTAAATGGTATATAGATACTCTTCGTAATACTTTTGGGCCATTGGTACCCCACCGTCCAAAAGCTAGAGCATATATGCCCTTCACTCGATATTTTTGGAACATTGGTGTCCCTGCCGTCCAAAAACTAGAGTATATATGCCCTTCACTCGATACATGAGACACTACCCAATGTCCCAAAGACGACATTGCGACACTACCTAATTACACAAACAATCCTATCATATTTACTAATTCTCCTATAATTTGAAATAATTACATTTTCATATCACTAGTTAATAATTTCATACCAAATTTTTAGTCAGATACACCTAGATACACTTTACCCAATCAAACATGAGAAAATTGGAAAACATTTATCGAAAAATGTTTTCCTTCATACCAAACACACCCTAAGTTTGTCAAAAATTTCATCAAGCTTTAAAAAATTATCTCACTCATTTTTTTTTATACTCCTTCAAGCGTACTAACCCAAATGGAAAAAAAATCAATCCTTTTTTTACTCGGTCATAAAATGAATTTGGGTTGGATCTCAATAAAAGAGGAATTGAGTTCTTTTTACTTAGATCAGCTTGGAGGAATTAAAAAAATTATGATTGAGATAATTTTTTTAAAGTCAAGTGAAAAATTTCAAATTTAAAAAATCAGTTTCATGATTTCTTGTAATTTAGTTTGTTAACAAAAAGGATAAATATACATTATTTGTTAAATGATGAGATATATACATAATTTATAAGATGATAAAGTTAGCTATATATGCGTTAATTTTTTAATAAAAAATATATGTTTTCTTTAAATCACAAAATTAAAAGATATATTTACCTATTTGCTTTTAAAAATAAATTCACTTGTGTTGAGTGTCTTGTGTGCAATGTATACTATTGTTTGGTTGGAAAATTATCTTCATGGATGGGATAGAGTTGTCATAGTATTACAATCAATGAACGACTAATAAGAACTCTCATTTTATGTGATACTCTTTTCTTTTTTAGTTCGTTTTAAAAAAGAATATTATTTTACTATAATTAAAAATAATATTACTCTCAATTTTTTTACCATTAATAAAAATGATTTATAACCATACAAATATTTAAGAATTGTTTTATACCGTAATTCTTAAAAAGTTAAAAAAGTATTGTATCAAATCAAAAAGTGACATATATGTGATACTTTTTTCTTTATTAGTTCGTCTTAAAAAAGAATATTTTACTATAATTAGAAATAATTTTACTCGCAATTTTTTTTTATCATTAATAAAATGATTTACAACCATACAAATATCTAAGAATTGTTTTAAACTATAATTTTAAAAAATTTAAAAAATATTGTATCAAATCAAAAAGTGACATATAAAATGAAACTAGAGAGTAATTTCCTTTGATTCTTTTCCTTTCTTTAGGGAATCTTCGTAAAATTGAAAGAAATAAAAAGTGGGGTTTTGAAAATAAATAATTTTGATAAGAGAGAACAACGACTTCAGTACGGAAAGGAATACGATTTGACAAATCAAAGAAAATTGCCCATACATTATTGATACAAACAATTATTGATAGACATCAAATATGACAAACATTTAATTTCCAGCTAAATCCTTGCCACCTCCATGATACATATAACATATTAGAGAAATTGTTGTATAATTGGGAAAGTGTCGGTTAGAGTCGTGCACGTATTAATAAATTAATTATTTAATGTTGATGAAAATAAGTTCACGTCAGATCGGGACGAGTATGAGGCTCGGGCAATCCCCTCAAGCCATGATTGTGTGTGTTAATGTTTGGATATGGGCATGAAAGGAGTGGCGGTGGCACTATGATAAAAACAATTTTTAGCGGCAATAAATATGTATATCAATAAAAAGTGTTAAAGTATTTACTGGTATTATTAGTTAATTGTCATTAGATCCAATGTTGATAGAGGCTTTAGGGACACTTACAAAGAGTGTTAATTACCTCTAAAAAAATATATTTAGTGACAATTGACCAATTGCGGTTAATTAATAATTGTTAATGATCAAATCGGAACGAGAACCTTGGAGTACTCTTTATAAAACTTGATCAATCCTCTTTCCTTTGAACTATCTTTTGGGATATGAGTGGAGATTAGGGGTGTGCAAAAATCAAACCGATTGATAAACCAAATCGAAAAAGCGTTATTGGTTTATAGCTATTAGGTTAACGATTTTTTAATGGTTTTATGAAAAATTACCTGGTTATTGGTTCGGTTGTGATTTTTTAATATTGGGTAAACTGATAACTTATTAAGACGGTAATAATTTACTACTTTACCTATACATAAATATTAAATATTAATCTCAATACCTTACTAGTTACTGCATTTGCCCTTTAGCCTTCAATTTACACTTTACAGTAACTTTGAATTCACAACTTCATACTATCCAAAACGTCAAAACCTAAAGTAAGAACCCTATTCCTCGTAATTTTCTCTTTGTGTTACACTTGTTTAGTTCTTTGCATGTTTGTTAGTATTGTTTCTATTTTATGAGTATTTGTAAAGTTACATTATTGTCTTATCGTGTCAAATTATTGGAGAAGTCATATATTTATTTTATAAGCATTTTCTTATTTGTTAAATAAAAAATCAAACCGTTAAAAACCAAGCCGATAATATTGCTTTGATTATTGACTTAGCATAATTAAAAATTGAAAACCAATAAATCGAACCAAACCAACCCATGCACGCCCATAGAAGATCTTGATAGGCCCAACATGATCTCTAATGTTTTCACCTTGTTCACAATTAGAAATTTAAAATTGGAAAATTACTACCTAAGCAAACATAGGTATTACATCAATTTTACACAGGGCAAAAAACATTAGTATACAAAATAAGCACCTTAATAACCACTATATAACAATAATTTTATTTTTCACCACTATAGCAATAGATTTTTTTCAAAAACATACAATAATATTAATAAAAAGAAAATGAAACAAAATTAGGAGAGAGATTATTATGACCCACGATTTTTTCTTCTTTTCCTAGATTTTTCAAAACTAGTTCCTTATAGGCGTTGAAACTGAAAGGTATTATTGTCAAAATGTTGATTTTGATTATGGTATAAAATTAACTTTTGATATTAAAAGGTTTGTGCCTTTGTAAATTTTTTAACGGATTTCTGTATAAAATGGTACATATTAAGGTATTTTGTTGAATTAAAATATGGTGTAATACTCTTGCTAAACTGGTAGGCTGAACACCAACTTCAAACCATAATTTATGTCATGTAAAATACCGTTTGTTAATTATTTTAAGAGTATATATTTATCCAATTAAACTTTTAAGGAGTATAATCCATAGGAAACACACAATTTTCTTTATTTTCTGATTAGAGATGATTTTGAAAAAAATAATTAAAAAAAAAAAACAAATCAAACCCATTACCGAAAAAACATGAATGAATAACATCTTAGTTCTTACCCTTAGAAACAAACAATGAAATTGATAAAACTAAATTAATGATTTTACTTTCTTGAAAAGGAATAAGAGAGAGAAAAAATATCTTTAATATAGAAATGAATTCAATAATAATTATAATTGAAAATCTAAAAAATATACACCATAAATTATGGGTCCCACACACCAACCCAAGAAAATAGCTAGGAAAAATATGTTGAAACGTGTAGTATTTAATACATTGTCATATTTGTAATTAAAAACTTAATATTGTAAATAAAAATGAAGATGTTAATATAATGTAATTTAAAGTCTTAAACACAATAATCTAGTAATTTTCCCTAACAAAAATAGTTTTTAGCGATAATAAATATGCACATTAACAAAGTGTATTACTTTTACCAGCATTAGTTCGTTGTCATTAGATCAAATGTCGCTATAAGCTTTAGAGACATTTAAAAAAAGTGGTAATTGCTGCTAAAAAATATTTTTTTAGCGACAATTAAGTTATTACCATTAACTAATTGCCGCCGAAGATCATTTTTGATGTAATATGATTAGGCATGTTTACGGGTCAATTTGGATCGGTTATTGGTCAAAACCAAAACCAAACCAACTTAATCAGTTTTCAAATTATCAAACCAAACCAAACCAAATATAATATACATTTATCGATTTGGTGATTATCGGTTTCGGTTTGGTTTGGTTCAGTTATTTGGTTATTAACCATACACAAAAATAAAAGAAACAATACATTCAAAATGTGAAAAAAGTGACAACAATCCATTCAAAACGAAAAATAGTTAGAATGACTTAAATTACTGAACTTTCGATCACTAAATTTACTATCAATAAAGCTTTAAATTTCACTATATTGGTCTAAAAGGAAGAGACAATAACATTTTCAGTCCCACAAATAATTGCAATTTGCCATAGACACTCATATACATGAAATTAATAAGATAAATGTTTCATCTTGGACATTTTTGCTTTCAATAAGTAAATTATAAAGAAATTTTAATGAAAATATGTATAAGATCTTTAAAATTGTTTATAAAAATAATATATTGAGTATGTATATTAATAAAATATATGTATATAATTCATCGGTTCGATTCGGTTATTTCTTCGGCTTTTTCTAATAAAACCATAACCAAACCAAATACTATCGGTTTTCAAAAATCTAAAACCAAACCAAACCCAAATAAAATCGGTTTTATTTTATCGGTTTGGTTCGGTTTTTCGGTTTGGATCGATTTTAATCCAAACCGTGAACACCCCTAAGTATGATCGAAAATTCATGTGTAAAGTTTGAACTGATTTACATATTGAGTGCATATAATTATACCACATGAGATATGAAAAAGTTATGAATTTCATGAACTATAGATACAATATAATTAATACAAAATGTCATACTAATTTAACTTCTCTCAATGAGATTATTAACTTCAGAAAGCTCCACTAATTTCCCCCTTTTTTCAGCCTTGTCCTTTAAATCATCAAGATAATGTTGATACATATATGACACAAATCCCCAAATTGCCAACACCATTGACATCACTTTAATACCACTCAACTTGTCATGAAGAAATATCACAGCCAAAACAGGAGCCACAGGTAAACCTAATATACTAATTACATTTGAAAATAATGAAGACACTTTAAAAATTAACCCTACTGAACCAACTGTATAAAATTGCCAACATATAGATGTCCCAATTAAATTTAAAACATAACTAATTTTCCCTAATTCATATTCATTCATTTCTTTCACTAACTTTTCCCACTCCCCGCTAGCGAAAAGCCCTATTAATAATACCATAGTCGCACTTATCGACTGATAAGTTGACATTTCTATGATCAAACGAAAGCTTTCTTTCTTAAAGATTTTTTGAAGAGCGAGTTGTGTTATAGAAAGCATCAACGCGTAGCCAGCAGAGGCAGCTAATGTAGACAAAAATCCGAATATATATTTTTGTCTAGACGTTTTATTATTGGTACGTTCACTAGAATCGTCGTTGTGGAGAACTAGGAGAGAAGAGGACATAGTGAGAATTACTAATGAGTTTACTATATAAGGGGTGAATTTTTGTTTATTTAGGAAGTATGAAAAAATGGCATTGAAACCTAATTGACTAGCACAAATAAGAGAATAAGTTGTAACAGAAAGATATTGTAGACCTATTGTGTATAACATACAATTTCCAGCTATAAATAAACCTAGTATAGTATAAAGTGAAGAAACAATTATAAAAGATGGTTTTTTAATTATTTCAATATTTTTATTAGTTTTTTTTGGTTTTATAAAAAGGAAAGGGATGAGAATTGGGAAGGCTATAGTTTGTACTAATGTGGCTAACCATTTACTATTTCCACCTTTTTCAAAATATATTCTACCTAAAAGTGTACCTATAGCTTGGGTAGATAGAACTAATATTGAATAAATGATCATTTGGATCCACCATTTATAATGTACCAAAGTTGGACCTTTTAATTGAGATTCATTTTGAGAGATGATTTCTTCCCTTTTAACTTCTTCACCTGCTTCAAATAAGATTTCATAATTAGTGACCAAGTAGATAAAACAAAGTACTAGTACTATAATCAGAGGCAGAGCCAAAATTTCAATTTTAATATGGCTAATTCAAAGGTTAATAATTGAGTTCTAAACTTATTTATACATAATGAATTTCTTGTCACAAATATATTATTTAAGTAAAATCTAATAGATTCGATTGAATCCGTAGCTAGACTTCTAGATTCGTCCCTAATTATATTATCAAATTTTACTCTTTTGTGCAGGTGGTTTATTTCATAAATGGTCTATATATAAACCTTGTATAAGCATACTACATAAATATGTCTTTTAACATAAATTCAGCTGACATCTATTTCCTTCAACTTTGGGTGTCCATAAATAGACACTTAAATTTGTATAAAATTAAACAAGTAGACACATTCGTCACGTAAGACGAATGTGTCTATTTCTACTTATGCACATCCAAAATTAGAGAAGGACACATTTATGTATTATCTCTTTATTATAATTGAAAAATCACAAAAATTTGCCACATTAAAGTTATTTAACTTTACCCCGTTATATTTGTGAAGTGGTGAAATATTATTATTTTTCACATTAAAATAACTCAATTCCGTGTGATTTTTAAATGAACTATATTACACTAAACTGATTGAACCTAACCAAAATGTTGAACATTGTCTATTAGAACAAAAAAATGAAAGAACTCTATTTTGTCAAAGTAAAATTACGAAGGTGCGTACTTATCCTAGTTAAGAAATAATGTACGATAATACAAATGTTGAAAATTAGGGTAAAAGAATAGTAGGTAATCGACTGTTGCAGTATTTTATGTTGAGAGGCAGGGGATTAATAGTTCTATTTAGTACTCATAGTATTTTATTCTACAACTTTTATTATTATTTATTATTTTATTTTATTTGTTTATCTTGTTATTTTATTATCGTTATTTTCCTTTCTATCCTGTTTTGGGGTTCCACTTCTTTTAAGCCAAAGAATCTATCGAAAACAATCTCCTAATCTCACAATAAAGATAAGAATATGATCTGTATACAACTATGCATACCCCTCATCAGTGGCGGAGCCAGGATTTTCAATAAGGGGGTTCAAAATCTGTAGAAATATACACACGAAGTAGCCGAAGGGGGTTACGTTTGGCATCTACTATATATACATAAAAATTTGTTTTAACCATGTATAATTAATATAATTTTCCGCTGAAGGGGGTTCGGATGAACCCTCTTAGTACAAGGTGGCTCCGCCCCTACCCCTCATATCCCACTTATGAAATTATTAATAGAAACGAAGAAGAGATGAAATTGAAACTTTACTTATTAGATCTTAAACACTGCATTAAACAATAACTATGTCTATATTAACAAATCTCCATATATAATATACTTTTCTTCTGCCAAAATTTTTCTTGATGCATATATTTAAATTAAAACATAAAAATAACTCCTAACACATAAATAAACAATTACTCAAATAAATAACGACTGGTAACCAATATAGATAACTTGTGCTTATATATTTTATCTTTTTTGCACCCAAAAAATTAAAATAGATTATCTTCACAAGCTTGTCAAGATTTTCTTCTAAAATAAGTCCATAAAAGACCATCATACAAATTACACAGTATGTTATTATTGCTATTGTTGAAGTTAACTCATTAAAATAGTAAAAACGCAAAATATTATTTCATCAGATTAAAATAACTCAACTATATATGTGATAACTATTATATATTAACTTTACCCTATAACAGTAAAGTCACAAATGTTCTCTACTTTAGCACTATTTTTAGTAAGTAGATCTATACTTTTGCCTTTTGTCCTGCCCTGAAATCTATATCTCCAAATAATTATATATAGAAATATTACTCTTTCCGTCTCATTTTATGTGGCACTTTTTGGATTTTGGTATTCAAACAAGTCTATTTTTAACCGTAATTTTTTCATAGATCTTTTAAATATTTTTAATTATCAATTATTGTGACTTATAGTACTTTTTACGTAGTTTACAAATATATAAATTTCATTTAATAAAAAAAAAAAATTCATGCGCAAATTCCCGGTCAAACTTAAACTGTTTGACTCTCGAAAAACGAAAAGTGCCACATAATCTCTAAAATTTCCTATTAGTTAAAAAAATTACAAAATCCCGTCCCGATATATCCCTAGCTAGCCTTTCCCCTTTCGAATACATTCATATCCATTCTCCGATACATTCCTCCCCTCTCAGATACATCTATGAGCTATGTATCCGCGGGTTGCCTAATATATCCGAAATCCTATGATTTTAAGAAATTTTTATAATTTAAAAAAGAATAGAAATATAATATAATTTGTTCTTTAACGGAATAAGATTTATGTAATATAGAAGCTCACCTTGTACTAGTGATTGCTCTACTGCTGAAGAATCCCCCATCTCATACACTTTGGTAAAAAGAAAGAAAGAAAGAAAGAAAGAAAGAAAGAATTCTTGTTGAAAATAAATCAAGTGAGAAACTTAATAAGTAGTATTTATAATATAATTTTTAAAGGAAGCTTTATCCATGAGATGGTGCACAATGAATGGTTGGCAATCATTTTTATTTGTTTATTATTTTAAAATATTTTTTATTTTAATTTATTTCTACTTTATATTAATAAATCAATAATTTAAATTTTATCCTCAATTATAATTACATATTCTTCAAATCAATTCTCATGATCTAAAACTATACATTAATTAATAAAAGTATTATAATGAAATATATATATTTTTAATTATTTTTTAGGAACGTACAAGTTCAAAATAAACGAATAAAAACGAACAAACAGAGAGTTTTCAGATATTCATGAATTGTTATTCATAGCAAGAATTTGTTGTTTTGGGGCCCAAGTTTTGACATATATTGTGAATAAATGTATAAATTATAAAAACGTGTCCTCTCTAAATTTGGCAGTAATGCCTCGTTTCGGGGTCCATCCAGCTGGGTAGTACGTAATTACATACTCCCTCCGTTTCACAAATAGTGACCTGGTTTAATTTGGCACAAAGTTTTAGAAAATAAAGAAAACTTTTGATTCTTGTGGTTCTAAATTAAAGTTATGTCAAATGTACTAAATTGCCCTTCAATCTTGTGGCTGTAAACATACCATGTGAAAAGTTGAAATTAAAATGTTACCAAAAAAAGAAAGAGGTCATTTTTTTTTTAAACTGACTAAAAAGGAAAGGAGGTCATTCTTTGTGAAACGGAGGGAGTATCATTCTCCGTTCGAATTTACTTGTTAAATATTTTTCAATTTTGATTTTTATTTTTATTTATTAATTTTGATAAATTAAGAAAAAAATAATATTTTTTTGATTCTCTTAATTTATTAAGATTGAATTAATGTATTAGAAAAATATAATGACGAAATATTAGAGGTGTGTAAAAATTAAATCGACTGATAAATCAAATTAAAAAAATGTTATTGATTTATTGCAATTGGGTTATTGAGTTAACGGATTTTTGATGGTTTTATGAAAAAAAATTATCGAGTTATCAATTTAATTTTAATTTTTAATATTGGGTTATTGCATAAGTCGATAACTGATTAAGACGGTAGTAATTTACTACTTTACCCTACATAAATCTTAAATATTTATCTCATTAACTTACCACTTACTGTCTTTTTTCCTTAGCGTTCAATTCACACTTTACAATATCATTGAGTTCATAATTACACATTATACAAAACGTCAAATACATAAAGTAAGAACCTTATTCCTCTTATTTCTCTTTGTTTTGTACTTGTATAGTTTTTTCATATTAGTTATTATTGTTTTTATTTTATGAGTATTCTGTAAAATTACAATATTGCTTTGTCGCGTTAAATTATTGGAGAAGTCATATATTTGTTTTATAAGTATTTTCTTATTGGTTAAACTAAAAATCAAACCCCTTCAAAACCAAAATCGACAAATCGAAAATCAATAAAAATATCTTATTAGTTTATCATATTTAAAAATTACAAATCTATAAATCAAATCGATAATATAAAAAGTCGGACTGAATCCATCAATACACACCCCTAATAAATATGTTTAGGACCCTACAATTAATAAAGATAAATTAGTACATTTGTTATACTAATTTTTTTAATAGGTGTGTCAAGTTGAAATTTGATAAATAAATTCGAATAGAGGGAGTAATATGGTGCGCTATAAATTAAAAACAACGTGGTAAAAACATAAATGTAACACCACTCTCAGTCTCCTACCTATTAGTGTCGAGTCAGAAATTATACTTTATTATTTATTTTTTTGGCTTTTTTTTTCTTTATTAATTATTTTTTCTTTTGTTAACTCTATTCTACACTAATTAATTATTTTAAAATTCTAATAATTATATCTTCTTCATCACTAAATTTGATCTACTTTATCCATCTCATTAGAAAATTTATGTTTGGACACCTTCACTATTGATTTCTGATTTTTACTGTTGCTCATCATAACTTCAAATTCTTTCAAAGATGAGCAGAAAAAAAAATGGTTTATTATTATTTTATGAATTGTTTCTATTAATCTTACAGAAAATTAATCTAATTGTGAATTAAAAGAAAGTTGTGCTTTAAAGTTGTGATAAAAGGAGAGTGAAGTGTCAAAAACACGTTTGAAATGTTTCTTTTTTTGAGTTTCATATCTAAATTATTGGGAGTGTGAGTTTCATATCTAAATGATCACTTATTTTATGTGGCATCGTTTGATTTGATATAATGTTTAAAAATAAAGGAAGATTTTATAAACTTGTGGTCTAAAATAATTTTTAGATATATTTTTAACGGTAAATTATGCTATCGTGGATAAAAAGAGAATTTTAAATTTATTTTTTTTAATTATAGTAAGAAGATATTTTTTAGACCGATTAAAAATGAAAAAAGTATCACATAAAATGAACCGAGAAAATAATATTTTAGGAATAATGGAAAAAAGAAGGGAGATTTTTATTTCATATATTATGAATAGAGAGAATATAGGATTGTAAATCAGACAAACAAATGACTTAGAAATTATATAAATTACAAGACATAATAAAATAAAATAATGACAAATAAAAAAATAATAATTATAGGAGTTATAAGGAAAATTTTAACCACTAATTAACGTGAGTCAATATGCACATAATGTCCCACGAATTAATGGGAAATGTTGCACAATATAAAATGTCACTTAATCCAACAATTCTTTATATTTTAATATTAAGCATTTTGACATTGTCAAGTATCAATTATAAAATGTCACTTAATCCAACAATTCTTTATATTTTAATATTAAGATCAAAGAGAGTGGAAAGAAGATTATTATACCTGATGAAGTTGTGTTCTGTGTTTTTAGTGAAATAAGAATTTTTACTTCAAAATCTTAGTGGTCTCGTACATGAATTATGATCGCTTAATAGAAATAAAATATCATTACTTACACATAATAATAATAATTTAGGTATTGATATAAATTTTTAAAATCGGTCTACACATTATGATCTTATATTATCTCAATTTTATGATTTTTTTGAGAACAAAACTAATTCTCATAGAAAAGGGTCTACGCTAACACAGGTGAAATTTGTCGAGAGAATAACAATAAAAAATTTTTACTTGTCCCCTCAAAAAATACTCCAGAAATTTTGGGCAATAATTGAGAATACCTCTTTTCACCTAAATAAAATTCTCTTTTCCACTATTTTTAATGTAATTTTATTTGGTTTTACACAAAATAATATAAGACCACCATATTTGTAAATGAATATTCTTTCTTATAATGAAAAATATATGAAAATAGTAAGTTAGATAAATAAATAATCAACAGATTATATGAATTACAAGACATAATTAAGTAGAACAACGACAAATAAAGAATTAAGGGGTTATAAAAGTTATAAAAAGAAATTATAGCCACTAACTGGGAGTCAATTTGCACATATATAATGCCCGACGGATTAATGGAAAATGCTCCACAATATGACACCACTTTGACATAATCAAATATTAAAAATAAAATGTTGCAGCACTTTGGGATTGTCACATATTAATTATTTTTTTTTAAAAATGTCACTTAACCCAACACACTACAAAAATCTCATGTCATTTGAAAGAGAAATGACAAGAAGAATGAAAATTATCCTTTTAAGGAGAGATGTATTCAAAATTTTAAGAAGATGAATATATTGTAATTTATATTATATACTGATATTAATAAAAGAATCGAGTCAAAAAAATCGGATGTTAGATTTGCAACTTCGATCAAGCTAATCGGTAATAGCCAAAGGCAAATGAAATATTTGACTTTTCAGAAAAACTCGTTACTCGGTAAAAGGGCAAATTTTAGCATTAATATTTGGAAAAACGAATGAAAGTAATAGAATAGGAAAAATAATAATATAGGAGATAAATAAATCATCTAAAAATGTCATATTACTATTTAGTGGATCCGGCTTCTCTCCATTTTTCTCAAGTTTCTATTTGGATTAATGACACATGGCATAGGTTAAAATAAATGGCTAAGATTTACTTTTTCAAAGTAAATCTCTAACCATGATTTAACTAATAAATTTATTATATATTTAATTTTAAAAATTACTATAAACCCCTCACAATCTTAACAACATATTATCTTGTTCATAAATTTAGGGAAAAAAAAAGTTTTCTTCCTAATTTTTTTTACTTAGGATGTTAATTTAATTTTTTTTTAAGTTAATATTTTTATTGCATTTTTTCATTGAATTTTTATTTTTAACCATTAGCTATTGAAGAGTTTTATTTTTCCTATTTTATTTCACCTTTTTTTTTTTCTATTTCCTCCAAAATTAACATTAGTTATATTTGGCAGCAGTTCAATATTTAAAAGAAAATTAAAAAGATCCCACGTAAAAAAAAAAAAGTAATTAGGAAGAACTTTTTTTCCCTATATTTATGGACAAGATAATATGTTGCTAAGATTGTGAGATTATAATAATTTTTATATATATTGTATTTATTAGTTAAATCATGGTTAGAGATTTACTTTGGAAAATTAAATCTTAGCCATTTATTTTAACCTATGTCATATTCACGTGAATCTGGATTATTTAACCTTTAATGCAAATATGAAACATTAAATAAAAAATAAAAAATAATTAAAAAAAAAATGGTGCCTTGAAGCAACAGTATTGCACTATTGTAATTTGTATCCCAAAGTCACTTGGGCTAAGTGTATTTATACTGCTATTGTAGGAAAAAATGGCACATCATAACAGCCCAAAGTGACTTTGGGCCTCCAATAATGCAAAACTGTCTTGTTCTTTTAAGTTTTGTCACAAATTAATATTTTTAGTTCAGGAAAAATAAATAGTAACATTCGCACTTTGAAATCAATAAATACATTTGTTGCGATACTTTTTTGTTCTTGATTATTATTTCCTCGATGTGAATTTTACTGTCAACAAATT